CAGCAATAGTGGATGCAGCAGAGCATATCGTGTGATACATTAATTTTATTTTTTATTGAAGGTTCAATTCATTTTCAAACTCTAGGCAGGAAGCAAAGTAAAACACATCTTTTGGGAACTGATAACGGGTGGGGAAAAAAGGAAAGAAAAGGAATTAATACTCAAATTTATTAAAGGGTCATTAGAACTGCAGGGTTCTGTATTGGGACTACCGCTCTTCCTAAAGTATGTTTATGATCTGAATTCTGCTGTAGTTGTTAATCCAGTCATGCTTCACAGATGCTACCAAAATAGAAGGATCAGGATTCTACAGTACGTGTAATGTAGGCAAGTGGAGAGTCTGGGAGAAGCTCTCCAGCCTGTTGATGATACCCTTGAGCTTCTAGGATCAGTCAGCTACCAGCAGCCAAATGAGACACTAGGCCTCCTCTCATTTCTAACCTTTCAGAAGTTCTTATGAATCCGTCTGTTTTCAAAGACTTTAATAAAAAGGTAATTGGCATGTAAAATTCCTATGCTGCCTCCTGCATTCGGATCTCATTTTCTCAAGGAAAACAGGAGCCCATTATCTCACACTGCAGACGTGTTAATGCTATTTGTTTTCAGTTATCAGTCTGACAGAAACCCATGTTTAAATCTCTTCTACACAGAGGTGAAAGAAAACCATTCAGACACAATAAGTATGATGGTGGTATCATTTTCTGTCTGAAATTCTGCTAGTTAAAATGCACTACATGGAAGATATTAAGGTTTAGGTCTGGAAGGCACTGGTTCTGAGGCAGACCCTGTGAAATTGGGTCGAGCATTGCTGAGTGAAATTGGTTATAGAACTAACTGCTGCTGCGCACTCCAAGGTTTCAAAAACCTCTTTTTGAGGAATGTCTGCATAAGGATTAATTAAAATATATTCCAATATGTCTGTATGTGCAAGAGCATGCAGGAAGCTGGGAATGATGGGAATTAATGTTAACTCTTGTCATTTTGCAGCTTTTCACAAAACGTGTGGTTTAAGAGCAGGTGCTACAAATCATGAAACTGATAATGGTGTAACAGCTGTCCGTCGTTGGAAACGTTGACTTCATATATTCAGAAGCTGGAATTAGAAGTCTCTTCAGACTGTTTATTTCACTTTAATTTTTTTTTTACATTTAACTTTTATCGCGCTTAAAAGTGTTTGGTTTGAGCATTCATGTTAAGACAAAAATATTACCTTTATGAAAATGTATAAAGTATATTGCATTCATTTCGCACCTACTGTATGTTAGACAGAGAGGTGCAGCAAAGCCAGTGGTGTAGAGGGTTTTCATTTAGAAGTCCACTGCAACACCAAAGAAGGAGTATCTATCTCTGGTTGTCGACTCCACAGCCCAGGATTGTGAATTCAAATCCCTGGTGAGATCAAGGTTATCCGGCAAACCCAGCTGTACAAACTGGTACCATATTTGTATGGCTGTTGTAACCTGCTTTGAACAGGAACATTAGAAAAATAAATGATTCATTATTTATAATAATACTACGGAAATCCCTGTCTTTAGGAAGAGGTATTCTTTTACAGTTTAACTAACGTTTAACCTTCTACTCCTCATGCATTATTGGAATTGTCCATTCACACAGAAAGCTGCTTGGACTGCCTGGATATTTTGTAGAATTCTTTAAATACATTTGAAAATCATGCGGCTAAGTTTACTTCCCTTTCATTTACAGTATATGACCGTTTTTTTATAACCTTGTATCATGTCTTCAAAACAGTGCAAAAGTTGATGTTTGTTATTTGCTGTTATATACATTTAGGATTTCCTTGAAAGGAGATCAGGTGCTGTTAACCTTTTCAGTGTGAAATGATTTCATTGTGAATAGAATTTGTCCTATAATAAAGAAATGCTAAAAATGCCAACTAGAGTTTAAACTGGTAGAAATGTTGTTACTGCCACCTACTGGCTATTTATATGTCAACAACCTTGGTGCGCCATTCAGTATAAACCCAATGAGAAAGAAATAAGAATATATGAGGAACAACTTTTTCCTTCAGGCTCCAGGCCTGGATTTTTCATCTTTATTTTCACGTTTCAGTGTAAAATTAACTTCACTTAGTTCCTTTGCGGCTCACGCACTAACACAAGTCCCCAAGCTAACCTGAAAGGACTGGATCATATGAATAGGCTTAATCAGTGCTTAGAAAAAGCTAGCTTGTGAATAGATTTTCATGTCCAGTGCACTTCATTAATTAAAGTGCTGTTATTTAGCAGTTAATTGCAAAGGAGGCTATGCTGTATTAGCAGCAAAAGTAAGAATTTCGATAATTAATGAACATGGGAAATAATTTGCTAAATCACGCAGAATGACTTTGCATTTGTTCCTCTTAGTAACGGAGATGGTTTGGGGATGTTTCTGCCTCTTGATCACGAGGAGGATTTTATTGTAATTGCCCAAATAAATCACATCACTTACTGCAAGTCTTCAAGAGCACAGATGTGTGCCTGCACCACCAGTCGCTCGTTTCTCCTGAACGAGGGCTCGGAAGTAATTTTTGAAATTGCTCTTTGCTGACAGCCTCTCTTGCTCCAACTTCATCTGCATCTGTTTCGCATGGGGTGAACAGTGGTCCTGGCATGAGTTTCCTCTCGCTCTGAGCCTGCTGGAAATATTGTCAATGTGAGACAGTACAGACCAGTGCACAGCCATTTATAAATAATGCAAGGGGTTTTTAATCGGTGTCTTTCTTCTGAGTTTTAGCCCAGAGCAAAATAACAGGCAGCAGAGCAGCAGGAAATAGTTTCCGTACAGTTTTCTCAGCTGTGAACAGACTGCAGTGGTCAGGAGCAGTATTCGAGAACTCCTGCTTAGCCCCTCTCTTGTGTGATCACTGTGCCTTCCATGTGATGGTACAAAGTCCTCCTCCTCTATGTTCTCTAAAAATGTCCTCTTTCTGAGCAGGAGCCTCTGTCATTTCATTTAATTGCATTTGTCCCATTTCTAGGCTCCCCAGCATCCTTATAGAACTGGCAGGCCAAGAGTTGGCCATGGTACTGAATGACGTGAACGTGCACATCTCAGCAGAATGCAGCGACTGTCTTTTAAGAAATCCCTTCAACCCAGGGAAGAACTCAGTCAATGTCTTCCCTTAAAATGTTGGCTCAAACAAATGCCAGCATTGAAATGAATTGGTGCTGTCCTTTGGCTCATGAAGAACAACTCCTGGGCAGACGGATCCTTTTAACAATCTTAATATGTGACGGTCCTTAATGAGAGGCAGCTATTCGTCTGTCTTGCCAACAGCATTTGTGCTGGCCTGGACCCTTAATTATTCAAGTCTCATAATCCTGGCACTGATAAAGAAAGCCAAAATGGGGCCCTTGAGAGCTTGAGTGCTGGAAGGTGGAGAAATATTTTTTTTAAATCCCTCAGGACCTCTGTGTTTTATGTGTTTGAGTTTGAAAGGTGGGGGATTGTGTTTGAAAAGGAGTGATCTCTGGCAGAGTGGCATGGGCAGTCTGGACAATCACAAGTCCTTTGAACTCCTCGTGTCTTAAATGTGTTAAACTGCTTGCAGCTGGAATTTGCCCTCTGAACTGTACACTAACGAGCCATGCAGAGGCTTCTGGCTGACACAATCAGTTCATTAGCATGGGAATGATCAATAGTGCACTGAAAGCAGCTTGGTCTGTCCCCCAGTGTGTCGTGCAACTCCTTGGAAAGCAGCAGAACTTTTCATTCTGCAGTTGACTCTTGCCCCTCTCTCTCCAAGTGCATTTCTGTCTTCCGCTGTTCCCCTTTTGCATGTATTTACATTTATAAAAACGTCTTGATTGGTTATTCAGTATTCCAGATAAAAAGATGTGTTGAAGCAATTCATTAAATAAATTGCTAAACTCTGTATCCTGCTTCGATTGACAACCAAGCGAAACATGCGCGAGAGATCAGAAGATTCTTTTCTTTCAGAAGCACTCTTTAATGGATGTTTATTTATTTTGTTTTAAATTTCATTTAGCCGGCTGTCTCTGTGGTTTGCTTAAAGGGAAGCAGCGGCCCATGAGAGACGCATTTCGCACAAGCAGATAGCTTTCACCGCTTTCATCTCTATAGAAACTGACAGCTTTGTATTGAATTTGTGTTTCTATAAAAACATTTTAACAGAAACACTGTGTGGAACAGAATCGCCAGTCCTGTCACACAGCCCTGTAGTCCAACACTAATAGGGATGTTTTCCAGCAGCGTGAATGGAAAGTTAAGAAAACATCCTTCTGTGCTAGCCATGGGCTTAGCTTTTGTTTAACTGAATCACTTTTTTTTTTCCTTCACACACAGTCTTTCAACTTTCAGCTTGGACAGAATGTATTTCATCCAGAGAGTTTTGAGATCAATTTAACTTTCATATTATCCCATTGGTCTTAGAAGCTGAGGTTGGGCTGGGCCTGGTTTGTCCTGGGTTAGAAGTACCTCTAAGTAAAAACCTGTAGGTGACAGTCTTCCCTCTGGCCATGCATTTCTAAACCAATGACCTGTTATGGTGACCATTGATACTGTCCTGTAGGTGGTGCTGTCCTTTGGACATTAAACTGAGATCCTTAATTCATGAATATATTGTCCATAAGTTTTGGGGTGTTAACCCTGGCTTCCTGGCTAAACGTCACCCATAATGCAACTGTTAAAGCATTTTTCTGCCCTGAGCCTTATTTGCCGTGTAGTTAGGCTCTTGGCATGTAATGACTGCTGTGTGCCATCGTTTGTGAACAGCGCAAGGTGGGGGCTGCACGTCCGTGGTGGATGAAGTGGCTCTTCTCCTGTATGCAAATGACACAAATGGGATTCTTTGGCATGGAAAGCTGGGATGAAAATGCAAGCAGCTGCTATTAATTATAACGTTGTGTAATCTGCTTTCTTTTTGTGCTGGGTTGTCATTCATTTAAAGATTGATTCTTAAAGTTCTTGAAAGAGCAAAACCAAAATGACATATGTTTAATCATTTGTTGAGAAGTTTGTTTTTTTGTATAATTATACAGGTTCTGTTCGTTCCCAGACACTGGTGGCATTATGTGGAATCAATTGATCCCATCACCGTCAGCATCAACTCCTGGATTGAAATGGTAATGTGTCTCATTCTTAAACAATCTCGGCGTGTTGCTCGTCTAAGTCATTTTCGAGTGGCACTGATTTTAATGCTGTTTCCACTCAGTTCTGGTCATGTGATGCTTAGATCGTTACTTTGACGTCGTTAATGGAAATCTATAGAAATCTGAAAATGCAGTTGCATAAGCAAGTGTCAAAGAAAACAAAAAAAACACTCACTTCTCTAAGTCAAGATGCATCTGTCAGCGCAGATGTGCGAAACGGAAATTTTTCTTGGGGAGAAACTTGAGATGTGCAATCTGGCATCATAACTTTGCACCTAATTACACCACCTTTCTGTCCAGTTTTAAAAATAATTCTTGTAGGTTTTGAAGAGTTTTTGTAGCTCAAAGTAACCCTGTTTCTCAGAGAAGAATATATATTCTGTATCAGCCAGATTTAGGGTGAATCTGTTAATTAATAAAGATACTTTTTTCTTGCAATCTGCCTCCAGCTGTAGTTCCTGTTCCTACCTTTGTGGGCGTTAACATTCCAAGCACTGAAATAATAACATAAATTATGCATGAACTGATTAATACAATAATTCACCGGTAAAGAGATAACTCTGTTAATGTGTCCCTTTTTTCTTCTGCACCACAGGATATTGATGACGAAGCACGTGTTGGAGAGGCTCTAACTAAGACTATTGTATGTGCCCTGAAGTCTGCTGGCAGTCCTGACAATGGGGATGTGTGGCTGAACCCCACGGAGGTAACAGTCCTTGTGTGTTCTGAATCTGAATGGTGAAAAGGTCAGATCAGCTGGCAGTTAGCCTCTTCTCTTATTTCCAGCTTCCCTGTTAGAGGGATTGTCAAGCACTGGAAAGTCCTTCAAATTCCTTGAAATCCTTTCTCTTTTACTGACATCATTATAATTAAATTAAAACAGTAATCTGAAATCGGACTGGTTTACACAACACGTGTATACTGTGCATTTAATGAAAGAATGTTAAGACTTCCATTGAATTCAAGCATTATTTGACCCAGGAGGAAATTTATTTTACGGCCAACACAACAATAGAACAAACAACACCAATAAAAATGCAGTACAACAGTGTTTCAATAGATTAGAGAGAGGTATTCTTCAGTGTTTGAGAATGTGATTGCAGAGGGGATGAAAGATTTCTTGAGTCAGTTACCGTTGCACTTCTGCTATGCGGTTACACATGTACAATTGTTGTTCGGACACCAGACTCCAGTAGTGACACACATCATGCCTTTCTCAGATGGGGAGAAAGGAATTCTGACTTGTAACCGATGTAGAAGCAGTGGTATTCCAGAGTTTCAGACTTCAGTACTGTGACAGGAACACCTGGAGCCCGGAAAGCTTGTGTACTTCAGCTGGTTGTTTGCTTAGGAAGTCCAAACAAATAATTTGACATCAGTCATGGACACAGAGGAGGCAGCTCTTGAAGGGGACGTCACACTGAACAGAAAAAATATGTCTCCTGCACAAAGCATTCAGCTCTAAGTCTGTGTGTATGTGTATGTTTTTTGGGTTTAAGGCTGAAGTCTCTTCCCATGAAGAAAACCTACTCTACCTAAATCTTGCCGTGCAGTCATGCTTGGAGAAGCAGAAATGCCACTGTAATAAATCTACAGCCTTCAAGTCTGGGACAGCCATAAGGCTGGGAAAACGGGATTTCAGAGGACAAGCAAAACGGACAGAACCTGCTGAGGAAGGTGCTGACAGCCATGAGCCGGCAGAGATTTCCACAGTTCCTTTCGGGCCCAATCTTGTCGCCGTGCCTCTGAAATTAGATGAGCAAGCACCACAGTGTCAGGCTGGTGGAGCCCAGGACAGCAGGCATCGTGTCTGCGCTCCCAGCAGTCCTAGCAGTCAGCTCAGCTGCGGTTTTGGTGACGAGCATAGCTGCCCCAGGAAACCAGAGAGAGGCGAGGCTGAGGTCACAACATTTAGTAACAAGAAACGCACAGGCGGCAGCCACAGGTTCTCACCAATCTCCACCAATGAGCTGCTGGACAGCCTGGTCCACCCCGAAGTCATTGCTTTGGTTACCAAGATTCTGATGGACAAACAAAATGCTGTCTGACAGGAGGGTGAATATATTGTAGAGAAAGCAGAGCAAATATGTAACAACAGTGTGTGCACACACATGCTAACACATACGTCTGTCTTCTTTTCCTAAAAAGGAACAATTTCCAAATGAGCAAAGAAAGGAAGACATGAAATTTTTTCTTGTTTAATGAAAATTATTTTTTCCAAACATTTTGGAGGGGCTTTTGTCTTTTAAAGAATTGGACAAATATATCTATTAACTTTGAAAAGGGTATGATTTTCAAGAATTAAAAGGCTGTTTTTAAAATAGCTCAGCCAAAAAGAACAAGTCGAAAGTATGGTTAACTCTGTGGTGCAAGAAATGAGGTAAAGATTAGACCGTATTAATAGGTTTTCATATATTGAAATTATTGTGTGTAGCTTCTCTTGTCTCCTTTTGCACACACGCACATTCAGATTTATAAAAATGTGACTATAATTATCTTGTACAAGCTCACAACTGACAAATCTGTGACACGTTGACAAATCTGTGACAAGTTTTAATAAATTAATAAATGTCTTGGCATAATAGCAAGCACAGTAATCATTCTTTTTGGAATGCTTGATATTTTAAATTCTTGGCAGTATTATGTGCTATCTGTAAATTGTTTTGAATCGTGTTCAGTGGTAGGAAGGTAGTTCTTTTTTTGTTTCCAGATTTTAAATAAACTTAAGCTGTTTTTGTACTGCAGCATTTCTTGTTTTTGTAAAAATGTGCACCAATGACAATAGAAATATGTGTTTATAACAGTATGCACTTGCCAAGTCTATAGGGGTATAACTGATGATACAGTGACAGGAGTATATATGACTTGCATCTCTTTGTCTAAATAAAATTGTAAGCTTTTCAAGGTAATATACATGAGTGGCAGAAACTCCACATTTTCAGAGAACCCCTGGTACACTCAGGCACGAAGGTGAGCTGTAGAATAAAATGAAAAATCACAAACTGTGAACATCAGAGTAGACTGAGCACACAGAAATGTCCTGATCATTACCACACAATCGGGATGGGTTACATCAGGGTGTCAGAGCAGCAGTGTGGTGTGGTCTGGTCTGGGGTGATTTTCTGTGTGGAACCTGCATGGTGGTTCTTGTCCAATGCTCCAGTTTCCTCCCATGTCCAGGTTAATGGGGTGTTCCCAGTACAGCTAGTACTGACAATGGAACTATAGAGAAATAGTTAACGGACTTTATGGGATAAATGGCTATATGGTTTCCTCTCTTCTCTAGTCTTTTCAGACTTGTGAAAGGTTTTGACATTGTAAATGTTCTTTTTTTTAAAGATCTTTATTATAAAGGGAGATTGTTTTTCAGGTTTGATTGTTTTATTTCTTTCCAGAAAATTAGACCTCTCCAAAACCATTTCAATGTGTGCTACACCGTTCATATAGTGGTCACTCTCTTGAATCTGTTTACACAGACACGGGGGACTTGATTACAAGTATTCAGAATGAAACTACATGGAAGTGCATTTTATACAGAGATCAGGAGGAACGTCTTTATATCATGCTTGTTGGAGCCGGAACATGCTACACGGCCATGTGGTTGAAGCCAATAACCTTGGCTTTTGATAAACAAGTATGTTCGAGCTTTGATAAATTAGCTGCTACTAGACAGGCTAGATGGGTAAACAGGCCTCGTCTTTTTTTGCGAACGCTCTTCTGCTCTTAGCCTTCTGAAACAAGGGCAGGAGATATGACTCATAATGGTTCATGAGAACCTGATGCTAATGGTGTTGAATCCAGTTTATTAAATTGAACTTAACTGTTCATACAGATGAGTGCTTCAAAGGTTAGCGTTGCTGTTGAGCTATAAGCACATTAGGAAATGAATGGATGGATAATTTACAATACTTTGCTTGACATCTATATGAACATCCATTCATATATTTTTAGCTACTTTTTCCAATTCAGGGTTGTGGGGGAGCTGGAGCCTATCCCAGAAAGCAACAGGCACAAGGCAGGGTACAGCGTGGACAGAATAGGATTCCTCTGCCGGCCGCGGGATACGAACCGGCAACCCTCCAGCCACAGGCGCAGATCCTGAGCCACAGAGCCACCACACCACCCTATGAGAGTACTGTGTCTACACGCGCACATACGCAGTGTCTGAAAAATAATGGACTTGTATTCACATGACTTCATGGCTTACAGAGCTTATGCTGAAACCAATATGAGCATCAGCCGTTTGGATGGTGCAGATTGATGTCATGTTATCTTACTTATGTACATCTTGCAGAAAGGCACTGTGACCCAGCCCTCCTAAGTCCCAAGACATGTGACAACAGAGCTCAAGATCTAGATATGTAGTCCACTCAGCCCATGATGATCATTCTTTTTGTAATGAGCAGTAGTGGCCACATGATTGCACAAGTGACCCAGGGGAAGCTGCAGAGGGGGAGATGGGGAGGAGGTGGGATGCAGGGAGGATGGCAAAGAAGGGGATCACGTAGAGTATTTATCAAGTCTTAGGTGAGGACATGACGTCAGGAGTGCCTGCGAATTTCTGACAGCTGAGTCTGATTAAACTTGCCAGTTGTCATTCATGTCGGACTTTCTTTATAAACTCCATTTAACGTAACGGAGTGTGCCATTTCTCTTATCACCTCGAAGCATCCTGGTAACACTGACCCAGTGTCCATTGGCATAAATGTGCAATAATGTCAAATCCAGAGAAGATCCAGTCCAGCTGTCTGTGGTACATACCCAGAAAGTAAAATGTTCTGAAAAAAACACTACTCAGGAGTACATACACAATAGTTTAAAATATAAGGCTTTAATCGGCAAGACAATTGTAAAGTCTGTAATTTACAACACCGATGGGCTCACAAAAATAAACACTTTTTACTAAATCATATATTTACAAGATCTGTATTGGAGTACATGTCATACAAAATACCACTTGAGCTAAGTTAACTTACCAATTTCCCAAGCAGCCAGAACTGCATTTATATCATGTTTGCCCTGCAGAGCTGTGACCACTCATTCTAAACTAACATTCTTCTGCTATTCTAGAATTTTACTTGTATTTATAAAACCAGCTTTGCAACCCGCAATCCGACTGCCAAAGACCTCCTTCTCTTACTGTAGATTTGTCTTGGCCACTTTTCAACAACAACAACTGAGCTGATGTAAGCTGAGTAAGACACATAACAGGATGATCAGGCCAGTAGCACATACTAGAGCGGAATTTCTGGGCCTAAAATAGTCTTAAACTACTAGACCCCACAAATGGGAAAAGTCTGCAATTAGATTTTGAGAAGATCCTAGAAAATAGTTAACGCTTCGCTTTCTTCGTCTGATGCTCTCTCTACAAAACCTTCTAAGCAAGAAGGCCTATTAATTTGATTTTATTTGGCATCTTTGAGGAGATCCTTTTGTATGCTCGCAATAGGACCAATGTGGCTACATCTTAGTGCTTTTGACCATCTGATCCATGTGCACACAGGGCTGTCCTGTGCCATTTTTCTTCAAGTCTTCATTTTCTTCTTCGTCCACCATCCTGGCCAGCTCGTCCGGGTCCACGTAGGTGTAGAAGTGAGCTATGATGGAGAAGAGGATGCAGACTCCAACGAGGAGGGCAGCAAACAGCACAAACTCCGCCCACTGCAACACAGCACAAGAGGAAGCACAGGCCTCAGGGTCACCCTTCTGGCACTGGCAGACCAGAAACATCTTTCACCAACGGGATTTTTCAGATTTGATCAGACCACTAGAGGAACTTTAATGGTGCCACAGCCTTGCATTAAGGAAACCCCTAAAACAAGTGCTTCTCCCCATACCTTTTCTTTAGATCCTGCTTTCAGCTCCGTTTACCCCTCCGAGTGAACAAACACTCTGCTCACCACTCTCCAGGACAGAATGAATCCGTACCTGCTCCAGCCCGCCTCCTTTCGCTACGATCAGCACTATCACGTTCCCAAAGGCCACAGTCATGAGCCAGCCAGCCTGCAGCACGGACTTCATGGTTGCAGGGGCCTGGAGGGAAGACAGGCAGATGAAGAACAACGCACCCGGTGAAGGCGAAAATGCTGTAGTGTCTCATTTCCGTAGCGAACCTTTTCTTTTATTGCAAAGGTCAGTGACGCAGTTTTACAAGCGTCTCATCTCACAAGAGTTCATTTTATTCCTTTTAACATGGCTAAGATGGCAAGAACTCCTTTGATGGCGTGAGCCTCTTAGAAACTCACACACACTTTATATGAAGTATAAGAGTAGTGCTGTGAATGGTTTTCTAGTAATGCGAGTACCTGAGAATACGAAAACTCCAGCCCTGTGATGGAGAACATGACTTCGCCAGCAGTTATCAAGACGTACTGAGGGATCTGCCAGGCTATGTGCACATTGTTGGCATGAATGTCCTCCATTTTCTTGAAGGACATTATGTCGCCAGAGACCTGACAAGAACAGAAAAATCAGATTGCTGACTCTTGTAATTGAGGTGGTCCTTTATTTAAAAGCATCTCAACCAACCAAGGTAATGCTGCCACACAGAACACAAAGGCATTGTAGTTTTAACAGAATACATTGAATGACATCCTACTGTCCCACAACAGTAGTAGGAACACCTACAAAGCAAAGATGAGAGGCCCACATGCATATTTTTGAATAATGTAGTATCCACTACCACCACCAGGCTGACCTAAGAACTTAAGAAAGGCTGCAAAAGAGAAATGGGGTCATGAGCCTGATTGATTGCTTGTATTAAGTGACCTGAGGATCTGGTATGTTTTGTGGAAGAAGCCATGTTATTGGCTTCAACAACATGGTTGGTTGGCCTGTTCCAATCTCCCACAATCCTTTGGGTATGAAAGTTCCTCCCATTTTCATTTCTGACCTCTTGTTCATGGTTCACTGTTGATTAATCATTTGATCAATTTTGTTTTATCCAGAACTGTCTGTTTGCAGACAGATTCATGACCAGCTGATAAATCCCTGTGTATAACCAGGCCATTCATCTTCAAGGCATTTATAAGGAATCCCATAAACTTTCTCTTTGGATGGTTTTCCACCTTAAGTTGTACAACTTACAAATGGGTTTCGATTAGAAGATCTCTTTATCTACCTGAGTGATGATGACAGTGTATGAGGCACCAAAATCAAGAAGGCCCAAGTCAATCGCGTATTCTTTCTGACCACTTCTGCATTTCACATCACTGTACCTTTATGGGAAGGAAGTGAAACGTTTAAGAAAGTTGAGGAGTGCTTACAGGAAAAAAAATCTTTTGCTGGTGAGAATTGGGGACAGAGAGAGAGTGTTTGGATGTTGGGTTTTTAAAGACACCAATGTTAAAGAATGATAATCATAGTCATGTCATGATACAACACACAGGGGTGTGAACCATGCTGACCCACACAAGTCAGCATGTTTAAGGTCATTAATTTACAAGTGAGCAGGATGTTAAAGTATGAATCAAACCCAAGTCCGCAAAATAGCAGCTCTCTGCTCAAAAAAGCTTCCTGGTGCTGATAATTGAAAACGATTTCATTTCACTAATTATGGGAGAGAAAAACTTGTTTTTTTAAGAAAAGTTGTAGTTAGAGGTGAAAAGATTTCAGAAACGTGCAGTCATTTCATTCACATATTATCAGAAAGCCACATATTATTTTTTAAGGGTTGCAGCATTTTATTCAGTAGCAGTCTTATCTAAAGCGGACAGTGCAGCTAAGCTAAATGTGGAACACAGACATGAAGTGAGTCCAGAGCTTCGGTCACACAAGAATCAAACCGGCGAGAGGACGTGGGAAGGAACTGCATCAGGAACACACCCCACACTTGTCTGTTTTTCTACTCACTCTCCTCTCTGCACGGTCTTATACATGGAGACTCCGTAGTTCCCGGAAACGTTTTCAAATTCTTCTGAGCCCACTGTTATATGAGTGCTATTTGCAAGGCCGTTGATAAATCTGTGAAATTAATACAAACAATAAACACGTTTGTGCCTTAACCCACAAAACATTTAGTAAATTCTAAGAAACTAATGGCGTGCCACTTTTCATTTTAATCGTTTGGTGATTTTTTAGCACAGCGGTCTCCAGGACATAGATCAGTTTTACCAGTACGGTTAAACTCTGGATGCAGTGCAGACTGTAGGCTTGAGCCAGTCACCTCTGGGGCCATCGAAGACAATAATCCTCAAACTTAAAGGATAGTTAATAAATGAGTGAGGCTCAAAGATGTTGGTAGACCTCAAAACTAAATTAGAGGCCCAACAACTCACATTAACGACCTCTTTTACTGAAATGTAAGCTGTAACTCTTATGGCGAGAGTGATCACAAATTCCTGCAATAACTGGGTAAATAAAATTTTAAGGATGCTGTAGCTTGGGATAGATGATTAATGTTTTATCTTTGTGTGTTTCTTAACTGCATTTGCTAAGAGCTGTCTACAGTCGTCACTCACCTCAAGCCTGCATACCCACTGTCAGACTTCTCGATTACATCCGTAATCTGTTCACAAAAGAAGAAAAATGAAATGAGAGCTAAATTAGATTCCTTGAGCTCCTGGTAGATTTCAGATTCATTATCTTGAAGTTCTTTAACTACAATGCATTTACAAGCTTACTTACAAGTTTGCATTTAATGCCTGTGTCCTCTTCATACAGAGCCAAACTATAGGCTTCTTTTTCAGTGAACTTTAGCTGGCATGAAGATTTTGATAGTTTGTAATCAAGAGTAAAGTTGAGTTCTGTGGTATTTGCCCATAGGTTCAGGGTCTGGTATTCCCAGGGATCCTATAACAACAGAAGAAGAGAGCAGAGGGGTACTGCATTAGTGTGATTTGAATATGTTCCAGTCTACCTTAAAGACATTTCTCTCAAATAAACAATCAGCCTCAGTTACAAGCACATCCATACTGGTCAAGATGAAATGGTTAATTTAGCTATGTGAAAGATGGGCTATTCGAGTTGGCTTGATAGAAAGGAGGAATGGAGCAAAGTTATGCTACGCCCCCTTAGCTGGGCTGGGCTAATTCCAATCAACAGGCACAACTGCAGGCTTTCAACCACCACCAGTGGCCTAATACACTAGATTCACCCCCCCTCGGTACAGCACTGCTGCCATAAATGTCTCCTCCACATCGCTGGGATACAGGTAGCGAAGCAAGTTCCACAGGCACCACACTGAAGCAAAACACTACCTGGCCTTCTGCCTTTCTAGGGATACCAAAGTCTCACCACCTGTTACATGCAGTCTATCCCCAGTGCAGGCCCAGCTGCTGCAGGTTATTCAGCTCTTTGTTTTCATTTTACAGCAAATAATGTTAAGGATGCTCTTTGACTAGGAACAAGTGTTCTGGAAAACAATCCAGAGTGACAACATCTAACCATTAATGTGGTCATAACATTCTTATGCTGCCCGGTGGGGGGGGAGAGGGGCAGACCTGTTAAACGTGTTGAACTGTTTCTTGCTTGTCCTGATATTGTTCTGATGCTCCTTGATAAAAGCAAACCAGAAATTTGATCTACAAATTCTGATACTGCAGGGCAAAGGATCATCACCAGATGATTGTCTTGTCTAGACTGCAGCCAAGCAATAGAATCATTCACAAAATTAGTACTTAGAGGTGTAAAATATACCTTTTGTCACTGTTGCTTTCTTAAGTCACTCGATAGTAAGACTTTAATTCACCAGCTGATAAATGTTAGACCTTGCAAATAATCCTGGTCTTGTAGCTTGTAGCTTCATTTAAGGACGGCAAATTACTCTTCATACATTTTTAACAGTGCTTAGGACTGAAGTATCCATTAATAAAATATTGATATTTTACACAATCTGTTAATAGCCACACAATCGTAATGTAGTGTCAAGTTCGACAAGGTCATTAACACTCTATTAACATTTTCTTATCTATTGGAGATTGTAAAGGATACGAAGGTGGAATTTACAGCAGGTGTTACCCATTGGAAAAACAGTTAAGCTAGAGTCTTATTAGTCTTATATGGAGAAGTTTGAAACCCAAAAATAATAAAGCAATCATTCGCAAGACAAGGGCTAGGACTATCTCAAACACATCCTCCCAGTCTTGTAGTCTGACATGTGCATAGAGAGTTTCTACTCACCTCAAAAGAAGAGAGTGTTTTAGGGAAGATGTCACTGTCTGCAAGATCTACTGTGACTTCCTCTCCAGCCAAGTTCAGAATCTGCAGTAAACTCTCATTGGCCATCGGAGCTGTAACCACAGTTCCCTGAAAGGATTGCAGATGTCAGGCTGAAATTCCTTAACTCTCATGTTTCCTGTTAAACCTGACAGCTGGCCAGGTGCTAATTTAAAGATCTGAGTTAATACTTTAGGTTTTCGATTCAAAATATGCGACGTATTCAATTTAAGTTATCATCAGACAGTTGTTCACCACTTGGTGTGATTGTAAGTTTCAAACTTTGTTTCCAAAGTTAAAGCAATCAAGGGGTTGAAGTACACAACTTAAATACAGATGGGAATTCCTTATGTTTCCAGCATGGAAATATCTCAGGAGACACATAAAGTTCACCACCATATTTTTCAGTAAAGAAAAACGTGTGGTGTCAGCAAAACTACAAGAGAAAAAGAAAAACAGCTGCCTTACTGTCACATTTATTTCCACAAGTGCTGCAGCTACAAATGCCAATGCTGCAAGCACCATGCCAGCAGCCATTTTTTTAAGAGGCCTGAAAAATACAGGAGAAACATCCGAGTCTGACACACAGTATAAGGAGAAGATCTACCATTGAAAACACCAATATTGTGACTGAATGCGAATGAAAATTCACATTTACAGTGATACTATATACAGTAGCAGTTTTCTTACAGCTAATTTCTAACGGTGTCTGGTAGTTTTATTCTAAAGGGGCCCCTCATCACCTTTCCTGCCAGTAGCTGAGCTGCTCGCCTGTTTAGGCATTTTTTTTATTGTACCCCAGAATTATTGCAGCACGGTCATTTTATCAGTTCTTCCACAGCGGTTCTGGAATACCCCTGGGTTTTCTGGGTTGTCTTCCAGCCAGGTTCTTAACCAATGTGTAATGTATGTCAATTTTCTGTTCCTGGTCTTAGTTTAAAAACTGCTTTCAGCCTTTTAAATACTGGATGAGAGTTGTGCTTGGTATGTATCCTGTCCTAATTCTGGAGTCAGTCAGCTGGCTGAAATAAACCCAAATGAACTTAAGAAGTAGGAAAAACACAGACTCAGTGTGGGACTTGTCTGGTTCTGTGTCATTCCTACACGTGTCTGCTCACGTCAGTTGATCACCTATTAAGAGCTGTTTAATCAGAAATAAGGAGCAAATCCATAATTAACAAGTTAATGCTGTACAAAGCTCTGTCTTCTGAACTTGTTGGGACTAATGCACATTAACCAGGGTATTTGTTGAAACTAGCACCTACTGCAAGTGTAGCAAATGTCTAAACCAGTAAGCGAATCAGTTACAGGCAGCAGTTAGCCATGGTGATTAAGAGCTCTGATGGAGCAAAAACCATCAGACACAGGGCTGCTCCAGGACCAGGACTGAGAGGCTCTGCTCCAGAAAAATACATTTCTTTGCCTTTGATTTGGCTTGTCATCATTAGTTTAATGAAATACAGAAATCAGACTTACGTCAAGTTAATCTTGCAAAGTCGGATGAGTGGATAAATACAAATATCAAAAATAGGCACAAACACCAAGATCAGCAAAGCATTCAACATCTAGGAAGGGGGAAAAGAAAACATAATTTGATGGAAATCCAGTATACTTCTAAAAGGAGACTTATTTATACAATTTCCTTGTAGTTCCATGAAAAGTCATCCAGGGATCCCAGATCCCAGATTTATGGTCAGATCATTTGTGCAATGTAAGAGATACCCCAGGGAACATGGGTATTTTGTTTGAAGGAGGGGAGATGGAAATGTTCAGAGTAGAAAGTAGGAAGGACTGAACTGATGTGAAGCTGTTTCTGTGGGGCATTTGGTGTGAAACAAGATCCACTGAGCAAGCAAGACATGAACCAACTTAGCTTTGTTTGTGCGGACAGGAACAGGCAGATCTCTCCCAACAACAAAACAAAACACACTTATCATGGGCAGAGGAGGAGAAGAGGTGGGGATAGAGGATAAGAGAAAAGAAAATTGGCAAAGAAATGAATTCTGGAGGACCAGTGAAGTGATTGAATCCCAGATTATACCCTGGCTTTCCACTGAGAAAGGGTGTAGCTGGAAATATTCATTGAAAAGCATCTTGGAGCTCACCTTTGTCCTAGTTATTGAGGATTGTTATAGAGCAGATTATAATTTAATCATTTGCACAAACATGCACAAACAAACAGATCTCCAAGCCTAGTCATGTTAATAAAGTATTATTTAAAGTATTTAATAAAGTATTAAAAAATATTGTTAGGAACATTACCTGCATCTGGTCTGGCTTTAAAATAAATCCACTCTGCAATGGAAAACAAAGTACAGTTTCTCAGCTACACATAAATTGTTCAATTATGTTGCCAAGTGTCATTTAACAGATGTTTGGCAGTGAAAATGCATTTGAAATGGGATACGAAAACTTGGGAGTACAAGTACTCTGGGTTAAAGTGTACTGTCCCGTCTTCAGCATGGAACAGCATTAATAAAACAAACCAAGTCAGCAATGGGTTCAGGCATTTATTGAGCAATAAACTGTTCTCTCATCTTAGTTATATCAGTTCTGATACCACCTTTACCACAATCAAATTGTTTGGAAAAATCATCATAAATCATGGCACTTACGATAAATAGTCCTACAAAACTGTTGCTAAAAGAAATCAGGTTTTAATTAATAATTAATTTCAATTTGAATTAATTAATAATTTGGGATCCCAAAGCACTACATATATAAATGGGGACCCACTTCATCCTCCATTGAAGTGCAGCCCCACCTGAACCATACAGATCTGACGATCAGGCAGAGTTGTGCGAATTCGAGTCCCCAGCTGAAACATTACTTATACTAATATTAATGTGTCACATAGATTAGGATTTGACTACTCAAAAAGTTAAAATCCTGCAATTGATCATTTTGAGATTATTTTCTTTCACCGTTTTGTTTATGCCAGACTGTTTTCCTTTGGAGACAAACACTTGGAAAATAAAAAAAAAAACTGAAACTTACGAAGTCCATATTCATTCTAGTGGCTTGGAGTGTCCAACGAGAGCCCTTGGTGGAATAAGAGAAAAAAATAAGCAGGGAAGTCAGAAAGACACGTTCCCAGAGGCGCGCAGATCCTCCTGTATCCTTCTGAGATTTGATCAGGGTCTCCCTGCCCCAGTCTGCACGGCCCCAGTCCCTGTCTGGGGGGGCGAGTCACTGTAACAGTGGTTTAAGACTGAAAATAAGGCTACAGGCGAGAGGAGGCCAGTTGGCCCATCTTGCCCATGGGGTAATTAGTAGTTAATTGATCCCAAGATCTCACCTATAAGGCTCTGCATGGCTTGGCACCTCAGTACCTGTTTGAACTATAATCGCCCTACTCCCCACCTCGCAACCTTCGCTCTTCTAATTCTGCCCTCCTAACTGTCCCCCAAGCCCGTCTACATTCTATGGGTGACAGGGCCTTCTCCTGTTCTGCCCCCAAGCTCTGGAACTCTCTCCCCAAGGATATCAGAGAGTCACCTTCTCTAAACTCCTTCAAATCCAGACTCAAAACCTTCTTCTTAAGAACAGCCTTTACTTAACTGGTTCCATTCCTCACCCCTCTGCTCTTCTTAGTACCACCATCCACGGTCTCCTCTATATATTGTAATTGTGTTTTATCTTGTGTATTCTTCTTATTCTTCTTATTCATTGTTGTTGTCATCCTGTAAAGCGCTTTGAGAGGCCACCTTTAAAGCCGCTATATAAAATAGTTTATTATTATATTATTTCTACTTGAAAGAAACCAGAGTGTCAGCCTCAGCAACATGGCTGGGTGGTTTGTTCCACACTACCATAACCCCTTGGGAAGAGAAGCGTCTCCTCTACCCGGTCTTGAAATTCCACGTAATTTGCTTGTTTGCGGCTCTTTTCTTTGAGGTTACTACCCAAGAAGGATGGTTAAACGTTCATGAAAAAATTAACTTGAAATGAAGTGACGTAACTGTGAGTAATGCCATGCCTTGTACTAATCCGTTACTAGATCATTGAATTGCAGTTCAGTTTTTAAACTTGTGACCATCCTACTTTCTCAAGACACGTCAAGACTGACCAGCTCTGGTCCCAGAGAGCCACAGTCAAGCAGGATTTTCTAGATCTCCCTTAAATCATCAATTTCTAAAAACCTGGAACAATTTCCTTTTGACCATTTGAGCAAGTGGTTTGTTTAATTAAGTAGAGATAAGCAAATACCAAGTATCAGGTACTACAGCTGACCATCCCTGATATTCCATAAGTATTCTTACTAACTGCAATACAATTTAGGTCTACATAACACCATTGAACAAAGATATATCCCAACACATTTATTTGTTATGTTATATGTCTGTGTTGCAGCAAAGAACACACTATTCAGCAGATCGTGTCTTTCAGTGTGTCTTTTCCGCAGAGAGAGTTTCCCCCACAAACTATAGAAACAGAACAGTTGTCTCTACAGATTTTTTGCACTTTTGTAATTTTAAAGAAATTGCAGGTTTTGGCACCTATAATAGACAGGTGGTATTAGAGAATGCCAATCAATGCCAGAACAAAGGAGACGTTGGACGCACTATCCCAGATTACCTTGCGGGGTGCTTACCTGCTGATCGAAGAGAGCCCAGAACATGGGCAGAGGAACGTAGAGGAGCAGAACCCTCAGCACCATCTTGATCTCATATATGAGGCGTTTCTGTTGAAATACAGAAATACACCGATTTATGAAGATAAGCTTCATCCTCTTTGAGCTTTGTTTGTCATTTCTGTTTTGAGACCAAGGTAGAGTAAATCTGTTTCAAATCAGATCAGATCACTTTATTGGCCATACAGAATTTTTTGTATTAGGAATTTGTCTTTTCGCATTCCCCAACTTACTCTCCATGAGACACACAGACACAGAGGCAAGGAGAGAAGCCTGGGGTCAGAGCGCAGGGTCAGCCATTTATTCGGCGCCCCTGGAGCAGCTGGTGTTAAGGGCCTTGCTCAGGGGCCCAACGGTGTAGGATTCCTCTGCTGGCTGCGGGATTTGATCCAGCAACAGGCTCAGATCCTCAGCCACAGAGCCCCCGCACTGCCCCACTGTTTGATGCAGAAGCAGGTCACTTGCAGCCACATGTATTGTTTCTGTATACGCTGTGCACTGGACTGAAGTCAGACAAGACATCACGAAAGGATGGGTTTGAAGGGAGGATACTGAATAAATCACTTGTGACAAGGATTTGCGATCTATAAATCTTACGACAGTTCATTTGGTAGAGAGATACCTGAATCCTAAAGACTGATATCCTTATAATAGCTTCCAGAATGTAACCATCTAAAACATTATTTAGTTCAGAGATGTGTACATTTTATACACCCAAGAAAAAAAGATTAAATGAATAAGAAAGCTCTGTTTTTTTTACCGAATACTTTTCTTCTGCCCAGTCAAGCCAGTGTTTCCTCTTCGGAGCTTTGCTGGAGCTTCTCCAGCGGTTCTTTAATGCAAACTGTGAGGCAGGATGAAAAGGACCATCAGTCTCTACAGCATTTTTATTGGAAAAACGTGCACAAATTGCTAACATTCTATCGTCAATTATATAGTATTAAAGTATTTAACTAAAATCATCCAAGTCCATCTCCGCTCAACTGCATAATTGGTTAACCAATAAAGAAACTGAAGTAAAAAGTTAAAATGCCACAGTCATTAATTGCAATTCCAGGATTAGAGGCATCATCTTGTTGTTTACATGTAATTTTAAAATGAAACATTTTTCATTATTCTGCACTTTTACACAAGGGGGGATGCTTCTATTCCTATTCCATAATAATATTACAATAAGATACAATAAAACAATGGACATTTTACTGCAGCACTTGGGGCGAAGTAGCTTGTTCAAGTGTACAGCAGCAGTGTCTACCCAAGGATTCGAACCCACAACCTTCCAGGTACAGACCCGGAACCCTGACTGCCTTGCCACGGTGCTCACTGACAGCAACAGCGAAACTGTCCCTTGCACAGGAATTGAGCACTAACCCCAATGCACCTGAGGACATCCAGCAGTATGTTCCCCTGTGGCGGGCTCCTCTTGTACAGCCTACTGCCAGCAATAAACACCACTAAGTGAAAGACAGAGAGGGGTCAATTTGCAAGCAAAAATCCACATTGGAAAAAGTGGATTAAGTGCATCTGTATAGCAGCTGTGGATATAAACATGTGGATATATTTTGTGCATTGACTGTCCTGATAAGGATCAGTGCTATACAGTACAGGGTTGTGTCAAGCCTAAGAAAAATGATACAATCAGTTTCTCCACTGAGGGAAATAGGAGCACTCACCCAAGGCAATGACCATTAAGGCTGCAGGAACACCAAAGGCCAGGGCATAGCAGTCTCCTCCAAAACACTGCACATCTCCTGCAGGGGGGCCAGAGCACACAGTTCACAAGGGCTGCACAGAGGCGAGACTGTGCTGTGAGCTGTGAGCTGTGAGCGATTTCATTATCTGAATGCAGCTGATTTACAAATGCAGGATATTCATTAGCAGGCTAAGCATTTCTAGACTCGGATGAATGACTCAAATGAAACACAGAGATTTCAATTTTGAGAAACTCCGCTAGAATCCTAATAAGAATTTGACTTTATGCTACAAATGCCAAAGGTATTTTGCTGTAGAGCGTACACACCCCGCAGCATTGGGGTAATGACTGTTGACAGCACACTGCCCGCGTTGATGGACATGTAGAAGATGGAAAAGAACTTCGTTCTCTCCTCCATCTGTAACAAAATGCAACGCACATGATGTTAATTCACATTAACATGACCATTATGCAAAAAGAGTATGCAAGTTTAAAGATGCGTCACATCCCTTCCAATGTGGGAAACAAATGAAAAGCATTCAGACAAATTCAATTAAGCTCTTTAACCAGCTTCAACCAAACCACCGCAAAGGAGCGAATAACAATTCATCGGCTTTCCCACTGTCTGTACAAGAAACCTTTGCTCTGATTCCAGTCTCGGGACACTGAGAAGAAACTCGCATGTAGACATTCACTTTCCTTGTGGTGCACCGTGTACTAATTCACTTCTCACAGCGCCAGGTTGAAAGTGCTAAAAAGATTTGGAAACAGCTGGGTTCTGTAGAAACGCTCAGTGAAATGAAGACATTCAGTATCCAGAGACGGGTAACCTCAGTCTGTGAGAGGTTATGCCACCAGAATTTGCTCTGCGGTAGCAGTGGCCGCAGCTCAACAAGCCACTGAGAGTGAGCTGTGGACCTTACATGCTCCTCTTCAAACTGATCTCCTCCAAAAGCCGCCACACAGGGTTTGATTCCTCCAGTCCCAATAGCAATGAGCACCAGCCCAAGCATTGACAGAGCCCTTTAAAACAACAGGAAACCAGCAATCAACTAAAACAGACAATGTGACTAACAAGACTTCTGCAAGCAGTACTGTGGAGCTTAGGGTTCTGGACTGGGTTAAAATCCCAGGTATGACACTGCTGTTGTGTCCTTCAGTCATTGTAGAAAAGTACCCAGCGAACATTAACTGCCACAGCTAAGAATGTTGGCCTAATAAATTAGTAAAAGAATAAAAACCAACGCTAAAGCCTTCTCAGAAATGAGACCTCACAAGCATAAAAGAACAAGTACCGTACAGCCAATTATTTTCACTCACACGTGGACGGTTGTGTCTCCCACATCAGGAATGGCACCCACAGACTTCACAACATGTCCAATAACGTACACTATAGAGAGGTAGATGATTGTCCTAGAAGTTGTAAAAAAAAAAACACCTTTATGACTCCACGCCCGAAACGTTGTGTTTTCTTTCTTCTTTTTTTCAGCATGGAATAAACCTATTATTTGTTTCTGATAAATGGAATGCTTGGCGATTCCCACCCCCAACAATTGATTTGTTTAACACTCATTAAGCTTACATTCATCTCCCAGGGAGTTACAACATCTGCGCAGGGGAGAAACGCACTTCTCCCAGGCATTCTTACTTGAACTTCCCGAGCCAGGAGTCTGCGATGAGCGCTCCGATAAGTGGGGTAAAATAGCAGAGGCCGGAGAAGGCGTGGTACACCGCCGTAGAGAGGTTCTCATCCCAGTGCAGGTAATTGAGGAAGTACAGGGTCAACAGAGCTACAGAAGACCAGGGAGGACAAAGCATGTTTCATTCTGTGTCTCGGACTTGTACTATTTCTCACAATGGAGGATGTGATTAAATACCAGTATGACCGAGGTTACCCTTATCAGGGATGTACTTTTTTCATCATCATAACAAATTATTATTATGATTTCAGTTATATGCTGGGCTTTGGAGAGCCTTATAATTTGTGTCATGCTCTCATGCAAGACCCCCCCCTCCCTGCAGCATTCAAAGCCTTTTGTTAAGTGAAACCAATTTAGTTACCTTTCATGCCATAGTAGGAGAATCGCTCACAGAACTCGTTCACCACAATGAAAGCGATGCTCAGGGGATAGTTAGTTCCACACAGTTTCTGGAGCAAAGAAGCAAGTTACAAAATCTGTATGTTTGTTTGATGAATGCAATTTGAGTGAATTATTAATTTTGTATGGCAGGGGAACTTTCCTTAGGTAATCTGTATATTACTCAAGAGAACTGGATTGCGGCTTAACCCTATACATCACCCTGCCCATGCCAGCAGATTTTGAACAGTTTACTGCTTACACAAACTGGGAGGATACAATTTATGTTGCTACATAAAAAAAAATCTGAACAATTTGGACAAGAGCAAAGAAGACATGAACATGTACTGTAAGTGAACTAATGTTCATTTTTGTTTCTTAGTTTGTTTTAAAAAGTCCATCTTTGGATGATTGAAATTAAAAGAGCAGGGCACATTTTTCAGAAAGTTTTACTTGGAGTAGACAGATGCAGTGTTGCAGTAGTCGGGCCAAATCTTAATTAATGCTACACAGAGACGAAACGTTGAAGGCGTGTTTGGCATAATTCTGGCTTGGCTGAGAGAGTAGCAGCCTCCCGGGAAGAATGAGACAGGAGGGACAACTCTTCACGAGGAATGAGTCAGGGAGCAGTTAGAGGGGTGGAGATGGATGGAGAGAGGGGAGGGAGAAGAAAGCGAAAGGGGGGAGTGGGCAAGATAAGAAGTTTGGCTTCCTTTCAAAAGTCTGTTTACAAAACCCATTAAGAATACACTGACCCTTGCCCATGCAATATGCTGACTGCAGCGGGATCACCTGTAGTGTCTTGGGGATGATCCTTATAACTAGCAGTCAATGCAGATAAAAATGCTTCACAACAGAAAAGTAACAAAACTGAAAAATAATTTCAGATCGCACTGCATGAGTTACTCCCTGTTGTGGACAACAAGCCATTGTATTGTCTAATATTTTTATTTATTGTCGAGAAGAATTGTAGAAAACAACAAATACTTCCATTTTAAGGAATTAATTATTAAACTTACCGGTGATCGAGGTTTGACATTTTTCTGAAGCGCACCATCTGCGTGGAAATAAACAATATCCCTGAGACATTTTTGAACACTAGAAAGATTAAGATCAAGCGCTGCATTTTAAAACAAATCTACAAAATGTCAAATAATTGTTTAAAGGTCATCCATTCTGTTGCAGCATATTATTTGGAAGGTGTGTTAAGCTTTACTTCATAGAAGGTCACCTGACGTCTCAATCACATAGTTGCTATAATTATTTAACTGTGTAATTGTAATGCCTCCAGTCGAGTTTTATCATACAATTAGATAGGGAACTGCACCTTTAATGAACTGAATATTTTCAGCCAGTAGAAGACCTTAAGAAACATCCTAAATGTGTCTGACTAAATTACATATAAAGTTAATTAATTTAATAATTAACTATATCAGTTAAATTGTTTCCCAGTTTTGAAACAAGAAACAGAGAAAAACAGTAGGCTCCGATAGAACTGAGTCTGAACTGATTTACAGACAAAACAAAAAAAGAATGAAAAAATAAACAGAATACAAGTTGCACACAGCTTCTCATTGCAAAGCTGAGCTGGCAAGCAATTTATAAACCTAACTGATGTCTTGGGCAGTAGTACTTGAGCCCAGTTCAAGTTATTTCACCACTTCTTCCCTAGTCTGTTGATGTTCTGCATTAATGTTTCCACCAAAGTTCAGTTTCACATTTATTAAACCCATGTGTTTATCATCTTTGAGATGATAAACTCAAGTCCAGTGCAGAAGGTTTATTTCAAGTCCAGTGCAGAAGGTTTATCATTATACAGCTGACACCAGTAGCCCTTGTCCAAGCATTATTCATACAGAAGCTTAATGAAAGAGTAATCCAGTGAAATGAGCTACACTAGACCGCTTACACCTGTACCTGAGACTTGTAATATCTTCCTCACTATGCCAATTAATCTAGAATGCAAAGTTTCGTATTCCACACAGAGATATACTAATAGGTATAAACAGGTTGAGCCTTCTTTCTGTTAATGAACCTCACAGTCCATACCATGGACCCAGCAATGAACAATACTCCAGCAGCTCACGGCCACTGTCCTAAGGTACTGAAATTGTGAAGGATGCCTTTGTGACAGACAGTCAGCTAATCACCAACTGAGAGGATGCAGCTGTTGGTGGTTATAGCTGTGATCTGGGACACCTGCCATCCTTGCTATAAAATCATGTTCTCTGGGGTGTGAGGTGGCTCAACACCAACAACACACCAGGTACTGTGTGCTGGTAGAGGTCAGATCCCAAGTGAGAATACAAAAATGTTTTTCTGATGTGGTTCCGGGGCTGACTGAGTGATGAATAGTTGATCCTGCAGGAAGGTGTTTTTTTTTTAAGGCAATCTGGATGATTGCGGAATGAAGCCTGAATTTAGAGCTGTTGGGGGTTTTAACTAGCCTGTAATAGTCTTCTTTGTTCCCGACAACCATCTTCAGCTGCATCTGTTTGTTGATGTATGGTGTTAATTGAAAGATGGAGGATCTGGCATATCTGCTCTCTTATGTATAAATACTTGATGGGTCGTTGTCCCCCACCTCCAACAACTTCATACACTTTTTTAAGTCTCATCAGAGACTGATGTCTAGCAACCTCAAGTGTGAGACCCTCTCTTTATCCTAAAGAACTCAGGTCCTGACTTGTAGGAATTGCTTTCTCTTCTTGCCCAAGCAGCTCTTCAACCTCCAGTTTTTTTTAAAGGAAAACATCCAGCTGAAATCTTGCTTGCTGTGCTCTTCCTCCCCTTCCTTTTTTCCCCCTGTTTCTGGTCAAGCATGCAACCCACTACAGCTGTGGTTCTAGCCTATATCTGTAGCTTTCTCTTCCCCATTCCCCACCCCTTTGCACTGTCCCCGCAGGAGCTCCTCCTGTTTGCTGCCCTGCGGGTGTGCGAGTACAGCAGTGGTCTGCACCGGGCCCGGGCCTCCACGTCCACCCTTGTCATCACCGGTATGACGTGGGCTGCGACCGTGGTGGGATTCCTTCTTGGGGTTTGGCTGTAACTGACCTCATCCATTCAGTTCTAACGCTTCAGCAAGGGGTAACTCTACCTGTTCCTTCTTATTTCTGCATCACGTTAATCTCGGGTGACTCTCATGGGCTGCTACAGTGTCTTCACCAGCTCACCACAGATCAGATCTCAGTTGAACTGGGCTTTGGTGCCTGTGCTGCGGTTTGTTTTCACTTCATTGCCTGATCATATTTCGCTTCATTCGCCACCAGGATTCTTCTGAAACATTACATATCTACTCAACCAAACAAGCTCAGACCTGATTTGTACATACTTCTTATTCCATACTGTGCCACAGTATGTGCAGCTTCTCCTCAGCACTGCTCATTCGATAGTATTCTCATTTTCTTCAGCCAGGTAAGCTGACACCAGTAACAAGTATGTCATCCCTTTATACAGTATCTGTCAGTTCATTTTGTCATTAATCGAATTTTATCGAATTACTGAAATGGTGTTATTCAACAGAAGTTCAGAAAGAGGTCAAGTTCTAATCTCACGCTTGTGCTCAACTGCATATAAATACTTGCTGGCTGCTCACAACTGTGTGCCTCTACTCCATCTTCACCCTATCAGCTGCCTCCCTGATTCATTCCTCATAAGTAAGGGGAGTTGTGACAGTGCTGATCTTCATTCAGTGCTGGCGTTAACTTGCCTGGCAGAAGAAGTAATGCATTAGGCATGCTCTCCTTTTATATTTGTTGGTTAATTTTGTCATTTTTAGAATTTGACTTATGTAACTAGCAATAGGAAAATTCTTATCTGCTTAACATTCCCTGCTTCCAGGTCACAAATTTCATTTGTTTGGAAAAAAATGACTCGGCCTCCAGTTCTTTACTTTAACGATTTTTAATTGTTTGATTTAACTGGCATGTGGTTGGGCAACTTGTGTGAATTCTTTAGAACTGAATTTTAAAGACAAATTTAACAAACATGGTTGCCCACATGCATGTTCTAGACCTAGAAAAGTTATTTCATGAATGTTGTCTAAGAACATAATGATGACAAACGAGAAGTACAGCCAATCTAGCCCAATTTGTAGTTAGTACCTAATGGATCCAAGGATCTTATTTACCCATTTGTTAAAAGAAACCAAGGCATTAGTTTGACAACATGGCTCTGTAGTTTTGTTTCAGACTCCCATGGACCTTTCATCATGCAGTTACCACTTGTATCCTCTCTTTCATGTTTTACTTTGATTTTGAAGAAGTCGACCAGGTTGACTTTGTCCATGCCCTTGGGGATTTTTTTCTACTTGTATTAGGTAGCGCAAAATGTTTAAATGTTGTGTTGCTGTGATGCAAACCTATCAATTTATTCATTAAACATAAAAAATGAAATGCTCTAGTTCATTCTTCTTTTATAAGAATTAAGTACAAAAAACATGCTTTTCGTCATCTGAAGAACAACGAAATGGAAACGAGTCAAAGGTTCTGAATACGTTGCGTGCTGTATTTGGTTGGTATTTTCAGTTGTGCTAGCGCCACCTACCGATGAATGCCACAGGTACATCGGACTAATCCTACTTAAAAAATCCTGTAATACTTAGAGGGATCTAACTTGTTCTGCTTGAAGTCCCAAAAAAAGTAAATATTGTACAACTTTTGCTTACAGAAGAAAGACGTGAGTTTTCAGATTCCTTGTTGCCCCACTTTATCAATTTTGCATGAGAATCTCATTCCCCAATATGACATGAACATATTTGTAAAATGCACCAAATGCTTCATATGCTGTACAGTATATTTCACAAGAAAACTGTACTGGCACTTTAAAAGTAGTAGACACTGATCTGGGTGTGATAACCTCCCACCATTACAATTGTAAACATTTTAAACTTTATCGTGTAGATAACTTTAAAAATCTAGAGTTTGGCTGTTGAAAATCTCATTTTTAATAGGAGCCTTTTACTTTGATGTCAGTTATTGTGTCCTTCAATAGAAACATATAAATATTAAGTTATTTATTGCTAAATGATCCAGTATCTCAAAATCACATCTTATCTCATCTATTTTCATGGCACATAAATCATTATTTGTGGGTCATTATGGAAAGAGTTAATTTTGCGATACTCATGGCCCACAGTGCCAAAAAGGAATGAAAAACAACCGTGAGGTTTACGGTCAAAAGCTGTGCTCTGCTGCTCTGCAAAATACTGTTTTCTACAATTAAGCAGCACAGAATTAACCAAAAGCCCTCTTATGCCCTTTCTATCATTTGTTGCTTTTTTATCATGTTGCAGGAGCCCTTTAGCAAAGTAAAGAAAAACATACCTTCTGTGTTTTTCTTTCCCATTCCTAACGAGTGCTCTTCTGTACTTCTCAACTCCCAAGTCCTGCTCTCGAACTTAACAGCTCTCCAGCATCCAAAGCTACTTCCTTTTCCACTCTGTTCACTGTCCCTTCTACACCCCTACTTATAACATTGTTCCACTCGCGGGTTAATGTTCTACTCCAGGCCTTCGATTTTTTTTTAAGGATTTGCTTGTGGATTTTCTGCCTTTTTTTTTCCCTCTTGTATTTCTAAGCCACAGGCGGGGAGAGCAAATCAAACCCCACGTTTCTGTGGACCCTTTCTCTTTGCCAAGTTCACAAGTCACAAGGAAGCATGTTTGTCAACTACATCTCACATGCATTACAAAAGCTTTCTTGTGTGTGTGGACTAAATGGAATTCCATAAGGCTCTCAGCCAGCCACAGGCACTGTGTGTGAGTAATTCAGTTTCTTCACAGTGTGATCTTGCACTCACAGTGCATTTGCAGTTCCATGTAGAGGTTCCCCGAGTCGATGATATCATTAATGAAAACAACCGTCTCTCCTGCCAAATCAGATGATCAGAGGCGAAACCTCTGCTATTGTTCTGCTAAATTTCACATTTTAAAATCCTTGGCTTTTTTTTATTTCCAATATGTCTGTTCCCTTGAGCCCCTGTGGTCTTTATTTTCAAGCTTTTATTGAAAGCTCAAGTCTGTAACTACTCTTCTGTCAGTGAAGACTTTAAATAAGGAACAAATGAAGGTTAATTACATGGTGAAAAGTAAAAAAAAAAACTTTTAGCTGTAGTTTTCTTCAACTGAAATGCTGTGTTTATTCTTTTTGCTTTTCAGTGTGAAATTTTATCTCGACTTGTCCTTTTGCAGTCAGTGCACACTGACGCAGCTATCCCCCTGAAATAATTTAAATAGGTCCAATTCCTGTTTTGAACACACGCTGTATGTAGAGCTACATTATTTGAACTCCAGCTATGGGACAAGAAAAATTGAAGTCTTTGTATGCAGAACCTCTCTTAGCATGTATGAGTTACATTTCGTGTTATCAGCACTTAACCAGCAGACATTAACAGTGGTGGTTTCTGTCTCTCTGTTGAATATGTTCACTTTTATGCATATGAGAAATTTGGAGACCGTGTGGAACGGTGGCTAGGGTTCTGGATTCATAACTAGCATATTCTTTAAAATTACATGTAAAGAAAAGATTACAGGCTAATAACGCAATCACTCAGAATAACAAATTTACCTAGAAAATAAATATAAACAATTAATGTACTATATAAAAAGTATTATTAAAATGGACTTAATTCTATTCATTAATTACACTCTCCACATGAAAGGCATCATTCCTATAATTATCAAGTCATATCACATAGTCAGATTTTTTAAGATATTTCTACATATCTCTATTTTTCTGTGTAAAAAGGAATAATTGTTCTTTTTCTTCCTCCTCCACTTATGGGACCTTGTAAAATCTAGTACCAAAATACAGTAACTTTTTTTTCTTTTTTTTTTTTAAACGCTGACCTCGGCTCCCATTAAGGTCATCAAACTCTTGTCACTGGTGAGGCATGCTGAATCCCTGCATTTCCAAGTCAATGAGAGCTGATAATTTTACAGTGTCACAGAGTGTTGAATCATAGATTACATGGGATGCCACAGTAATACTGAAAGAAAAATGCAGCCAACAGGAAAAATTAAACTGCACTTTTCAGCCACCAGCAAACCACATCTTATAAGTCATGCAATAACGTCGTTCCACTCCTTTAACCTCTCCCAGTGGCTTCAGGAGAGGAAACAGCATCCCAGACACACTCAAACACATGTGCCAGAGCACATGCTTGAAAGCAAGTCTTGTGTTTCTTATTAATAATAGGAATGATATTGGACGGCACAGTGGAGCAGTGGTTAACACTGTTGCCTCGCAGCACTTGGGACTTGTGTTCAATTCCTGACCTGAGGTGCTGTCTGCGTGGAGTTTGTATGTTCTCCCTGTATTCACGCGACTTTTCTCCCTCAGTTCAAAGCCTTGCTGGTAGGTTAATTGATTTCTGGACTTTTGGCCCCAGCTGTGAGTGTGTGTCTGTATTTGTGTTCTGCGTGTGCCCAGTAATGGACTGGTGTCCCATCCAGGGTGTACCCTGCTTTGCACCGGACTCTGAATTGGAGGAAGTGGTTAGCAAATGGATGAATAATATCAGCCAACATAAACACTTTTATCCAAGACAAGTTGCCTTTCTATGGCTGGGCATTATCCTGGATCAATCTTTATCCAAGGGTAACAGCAGTGTCCCCTGGGACTGAGACCCACAACTGTTTGAAGCATTGAACACCACTCCACACCACTGCCTCACTCCAGAAACTCCTCGCACTTCAGGCTGCTGCTCGGAGTCCATGGTTTCACCTCTACATTATACTGATCCCCTAGACATCTGATTTCTTTTCAAGTTTTCAGGTTGCTAAGAATCAACATGGTGGTTGTTGTGTTCACTGAAATGGACAGCTACAGTAACGCTTTAGAAGTTTAAATGCTGACCTCTGTTTCACAAATAAAAAAGAGCTTTATGTTATGACACGTACGGTTTTCTATTTGCTTCATTATATTATCCAGCTCTTTATCTGTTGGTTTATTGATTTCTATATTTTTACTATACTTCCTAACACAATAGCTTCATTATTGCTCTATGTAACTTAAGTTACCTCATTAAACAAACTTAACATTTTATGAAAGCCTTCAATATAAAAGCATATTATAAAAGAATAAATATTACATTATAGTCATTCATTGACTGATTATGAATAGATGAAAGAAGGGTGACTTCCTGTTAAAGATGTATATTATTTTTTGTGCTAAGAATATGGACTGTTCAGTCAAGGACTTGTGAGTCTTCTGAAAGAAACACATTGAACACACACAAGCCATCATTATGCTATTATATTACCATCCCTAATGATAGTAATTAGACATCTCATTACATCATAATGGCTGCTGAAGTGTTGCAGAAGGTGTGACACACTGCAGGAGGCTGGAGTCTCACACAGTCATCACTAGATGAGATCATGTACAAATGATGTCAATTCTGGGGTTTAGAGGGACAGAGCTTTTTAAATGTGGCCAACCTCCACTATAGAAATTATGTACTCAGCATCAAAAGACACTTATCTAGCTATGCATATGTAATTTGTTTTTTATGTTTTTAGAACAATAAAGGATACGTGTTTTGGTCATTGATTAAATGTTTTTCTCATTCTGATTAATTGATCATTCATTCATTTGTGATAAACTCAGATGACTGTGACTGTTGCATTAGGTCACCTTGGAAAATAAAACAAAAATGCCCCATGTATCAAGAAAACAACACCCTTTACTCCATCACTATGAGGGAGGCTGGACTACGTTACCTCCCCGTCAACCACTGTCTGGTTTGTCACAGCCAGGAATTTCTATCCTGCCATGATGTTACTGCCAATCACTTTCAATGAAAGGCCACAGTCTGGAGTACTGATATCTCACCAAGAGCAATGAGTCCAAGTGCGAAGGTCTGGGCAAGGGTACTTGGTCACCACAGAACTCCAATCGTACGGTCTGATAGCAGCTTGAGTGCACAGCACTACATTGATCATGTCCTTGGACTCCATAGGTGCCTTCTCCTGTCTTGGGAGCCTCTACCCTTCTGGTGAGCTCATCCTGACGGGACAACGCCTGTTTCCGTGCAGTTTGTGTAACACTGGATTTCTTAAAGTTAGCAAGAGACAGCTAGACGGTCGATGCACTACTTGCCAGACTTGAGCCCCACTGTCCAGAAGACAGGGATGAGCTACTGTACAGTAATTTGTAGCATCTGGGGCTCAAAGACCAGTGAACAGGCACATGCTTGACCAGGCTCTATGAGACGAATGGGACAGAATCCCACAAGACAGCATCTGTAACCTGGTGGAAAGCCAGCATCAGAAATGTACAGTCTGTATTGTTTCCAGCAGTGGGCACACACACTACTAACCTGTGTCTTTCATAGTAGACCTCCTTGTTCATCAACCCCAGCTATTAATCTAGATTTGCTCAATGGGCAGAACGACCTCTTTTCACTTGGAACATCTAATCTGTATAATAAATTCACCTACAGCTTGTCTGCTTGATCAAATGTCAGCATACCTCCTACAAGAAAGATATCGTTTTCCTGAGAAAATGTAGATGTTCAGCATACCGTATATAAAGCAGGGGTAAAGGGAATAGATTTAAAACCACAGTAATCAGGATCCTCCCGGGAAGAATCAGATGTAGTTCCTGGCCATGTTGTGTTCACTGTAGCTCTGCTACAGTGCTATAGAGCTGTATATACAGCATAGTGCTGCTGCAGTATCCTGCATGAGGCAGGGTCTCCATCTGCTCCTGCTGTAGGTAGGATAGGTTGGTAGGAAGGTAGATAGGATGCTTTTAAACAACTGCTTCTCCACACCTTACTCTTTTGCCAGAAGTAACTTCATAAAACCAGGATCATAACCAAGGTGAACTTTGAAGTTATCAGCATCTTCTTATATCTTTCAATCTCATTTTAGTACAGGCAGTATCTGGTCTTATATGACTGACAGTTATCATCATCACCTTGCTTGGTTACATATTATCCCCAGTTACAAAGTGTTGAGGTATCACCAGAAAAAACATATATAACCTGCAAAAGAACACTGGGTCTGGCATTTCAGCTTACTCCCTGTGCTTTTCTGCCAAGACAGGTAATGAGAAATAGCCTGAAACAAATTGTAAGAGTAACAATGTGTCCCAGAGGGCCACATGCCCACATTAAAAAGTATGTTTGCAAATGGATGGGACTGACCAACCTATATGTGGAAAGTTAATGTTTAATATATATTATTGTATGTAGTATTTGAAACCAGTGAAACACGCAGCCTCCTCAATAAAATATGCTAAGCATCTGACTGTGCATTCATATGCAAATAACACTATACTGACATAAAAATAGATCATTTTGGGAGATCTGGTGGAACTAGAACTAGACAACTATGGAAAAGTGCAATTAAAACTCAGAACAGGAGACTCCTCTTTAAGCAAAGGCGTGTGGAAATGTGAAACAAGGTAAGGTTCAAGAAAGTGCTGGACGACTTCCTTGCGTCAATAAGACTCTAACCGCCCAATGACCAGATGGGCCCAATGACCTCACCTCGTTTGTAACCTGTCCTGTGATCTTAGGGTTCATTCGGTCTTACAGCCCGTGACGGTGTCTCTGTCCCCCCAGGAGCCTCGAGAGCTTTGAATTGTCTCAGTGCAGAAGATTGGCTTTGGGACACAGGCAGGCGAAGCCGATACCCTGGCCTCCTTCAAGAAAC